AAAAACCTTAATTAAAAAAAAAAAAAAGAGCACAGGGTAAGGAATAGATACAGGATAGCTTGGGATGGGGGGGCCGGGGGCTGGGAGGGGCGGCAATACACAAGAACGGGGAGGGGAATGGCAGAACAAGGCTGATGGGAGAACAGTTAGGCAGGTTAGCAAGGGCTAAGTGGGACAGAGGTAAATGAAAATGCATGCACAACCTTGGAACAACAGGGCTCCGGGATACAGGGATTGAGGCACGGTTTGATGGGGTAAAAGAGGGGAACAGTGTTAAGATGCTTGGCTGTCTTTTGAATTCTGGTTTCCCTTGCTTACCATTGTAAAATAGACACTTGCCGGTGGGGAGAAAGGAACAGCCAGAAAGCTTTCAAGTCCATCTTCAGCCTATAACTGATTGGAATACCTTAAAAGGGGGCTAGAAGTTGCCCAGAGAAAGAGGCTTCCTGTGGAGCCTTTACATTGCATAAGACCATAGGTGGAATCCTGAACCCCATCCAGAACCGACTGAAGTAGGAAATTTCCACTGGAAAGGACGAGCAGACCAGCCTGGAGCAGCTAGAAGAACAGAAGATACTTCGTGAAAGAAAGACCGGCAGGAAAAATCCGAAACAGTATCGGCAGTCTGACTGATTACTACATGAACAAGTAAGCTGTTTGCCTGAGAGCCATCAAGGCAAGTGGTCAGTACCCCTCAGAGCAAACCCCCTTCCAAGACTGAGACTCAAGACTTCCAAGACCGAGCAGGCGTGTGGTCTGGCTGGTGGTGGTCACCAGTAAGGGAAGAGTGGGAGAATAAAAGCAATGAAGTTGCGAGTTGAACCCGACCACATTCAATAGACCCCTGTGAAACCGGGTAGAGACCTCGATGGCCAGCAATATGGCAAGACCCAGTGACTCCTGAGCCCAAAGGCAGTGACATGGCCACAGAGAACTAGAGTGTACAGTGAAGCATCCAGCTGATAGGAAGTGAGGGGAGATGCACAAGAACACCCATACTTGCAGATAGTACCCACTTGACCTGGCTTCGTTGGCTGGACGATCAGAACTCGACTAGGAGAAAAAAAAGAAAAAAAGAGTAACCTGCTACAATTTGATGAACTTTACCTATACTTATGGATGTCATAGCTCAAAAAAGGAAACAAATCTTTACAGCAACGATCACTCCCATCTTTACAGCAACAATCACTCCCACCTCCTTGGTACACAGGGCTGACAGGGTTGGGCGACATAAACACTGGCTACCCAAAATGGGGGGCCTATAAAGGCAAGAAGTAACTGGCTTACAAACTTTCAAGAGGGAGCCTAGTTCCAGACGGGGTGGGGGAAGATAGAATCACCACTGAATGATATCCAATCCGTTGGGACCTGGCTGGAGAAAGAAATAGGGATAAGACTTGTGGTACAATGGTGAATAATTGCCATCAGGTCTGACTGTGAGGTAGATGTTTTTTGACAAAGGAGGAGAGTGATTGGTTTTGCAGCCCAGGAGCGGAGGTCCCTGGGACCATCAAGTGAGAAGAGCAGAGAGCGGGACCCTACCCAGAAGGGGGGGTGGGCCTGTGTGGTGTACCTTTAGGGTTTTATGAAGATGCATGGAGGGGATTGTAATCATTGCAATGAAACGAAATATTATAGATGAGTGTAAAGCTGATGTTCTCCCATGTAAACCTCAAAATAAAAACTAAAAAACAAAAACATTATGCCAAATACTAGGTTACATATTAGTTTATTATTCCAGATAAAATGTAAATTATCTGAGGGAGGAAATGGGATGCGAATTCTTCCTAGGAAGACTGAAATGTTCTTCTAAAATTGACTGTGGTGATGACTGTACAATTGTAAATTTATATAATTCAATGAATTATACAATTTAAACAAGTAAATTTTATGGTATGTAAATTAAAGCTCAAAAAAGCTATTAAAATACACACATAGATATGGGCAAGCAGAAACCAGTTTAAAAAAAAAAAAAAAAAAATCAGAGAAGGTGGGGATTTAGGTTTTACACAAGCCCTACAGTAAAAGAAAATCAACCGACACAATGATCTTTCAAGTTCATTCACAGAAATATTAATACAAATAATGGAAAAAGGTTTCTCAACCTGGGTTAAGCTACCACCCTACCTTGTCACTTAAAGGTGGACGATTCATCGGACTAATTCCTTTCCGAATTCCAGTTGCTTTTCTGGCTGCAAGGCCAGTGATAAGTCCATAAGGACGTCTCTTTCCAGGCATTACTCTTCCTCTACGGCTCAGACTATTTTTACCAAAACCTACAGGAGAAAAAGAAAGGCAAAAAAAACATATTATAAATCTAGTAGCACAAGTGAGGATGGCACTCAGAGCAGAGAATACAAGGGTAAGTCAAGAAGTATTGCTACGAGGGACTTCTGGCAAGATGGTGGACTAGTTAGATGCACTACACAGACCCTCTACAACAAAGACATGAGAGATTAAATGAAACTGACACAGATAAAAATTCTGGAATCCTGAACTTCAGAGCAAAAGTTTGCAAAGTGGATTGAGTGCATTCTGGGAGAAGCTGAGTACGGACAATGAGAGAGGGAGACAGACTGGTGAACTACCAGTTGGGCATGGGCAACAATCTTGGGAGCAGCTTTGGCAGCAAAAGGTGGCCTGGCAGAGTAGACTCCTTCATTCCCCACATCACAATCCCATGGTGACCAGAGATGTGGTCACCTCCCACCCTCATCTCTCCCAGCTCAGGCCCTGCTCTCCAGGAGTTCGTAGCCATGTGGTTGGGAGCTACATTAGTGTGAAGCAAGAGCCAGTTCTGCTGCTTCAGTGTGCCACTCTGGTGCCCCACCTGAGTGCCTGGATTCAGGCGGGCTCAACGCCACACCTACAAAACCTGCAGAGCCATCACACCAGCATTTAATCAGTCACCCTGACCTTAGATGCCCTGTGGTCCTAACAGACACTGAAACCAGCTCCATCAAGGGCCACCATGAACTACTGCCGGACTGACTGCCCTGAACATAAAGAGGAAGGTCAGTAGAAACTCCATCTAGGGCCAGATACTTGCTGTCACTTCTCTCCCACACCTATCTTTTGAGTTTTCTTCTCTCCAAGTCAAACTACACTGCTTTTTTTGGTTTGCGTTTTGTTTTTTGCCTTTTCTTATTTGTTTTTGCTTGTCAATTCTTTTTCCTCCTTCATTTTCTCTTTCCATTCCCTTGAATTTTATTCTTTGTATTTCTGCTGTTGTCCTTTTTTTCTTGTTTCTCATTTTCCCCTTCTTCCTTTTGATCTTCACTACTGTATACTCTACTGTCTCTTTTCATCTTCCTGCTCTCTGGATTTTCTAAGTGTGTTTTTTTTCTCTTCCTTCTGTTTCTTATGTTTCTCTTCTATAGCTCCACTTTCCTATTCCTCTTCTCTTTTACTTATCCTTAAGTGTATGTATTTTTAAACTTATTTTTCTCTTCTATAGTACCATTTCCCTGTGTCTCTTAGTGGCACTGTAGGATCAGCAATGGACTGCGCACCACAAGGTCAAACAGTTCAAACCCACAAGTTGCTCCTCAGAAACACTATACAGGGTTGTTATAAGTCAGAACTGACTCGATGGTATTTAACAACAAAAACAACAACTTTAATATTTATACTTATTGCATTCTTTTTTTCTGTTTACTGCCTGTTTTTATATCTTGTTTCTCTTTTCATTATTGCTCCCTGTTTATTCTTGTGCATGTGGGAGGAAGGGCTTTCTCTTTGCCATCCAAAAGTAGACAGCAACTCTATCCACACAACCCAGCCACAACCATACCCTCTGCAGCTCCACCCACTAGGCAAGAGCTAGTAATATTCTTATACCACCTGATTAAAGATAGCAGCCAACACCAGGCAAACCCACCCTAAAATGAGATGCATGAATGGTGAACAAGAAAGTGTACACACATCCATTCTCTAACTATACACACAGGAGACATGAGAGCCTGAGAACACACCAACAGACAATCATCAATTAATACAAATATGGCAACTCCACCCACAATGCCCCAGAGACATCAATTTTAGCTCACACGAAAAAACAAGAGAGAATGACTCAAACAAATGACCAAGATATAGAGACAGAAAATGTTTCTCAGGAAGAAAAGGTACTGGAACTAAATGAAAAAGAATTCAAAAGAATGATGCTATTGTTAAGTGCCATCGAGTCGTTTCCGACCCATAGCGACCCTGTATAGGGTTTCTGAGGAGCAGCTGATGAACTTGAACTGCCAACCATGCAGTTCAAACAGTTTTGCAGTCTGGCACATTAACCCACAGCGCCACACCAGGACTCCAAAAGAATCATAGATAGCTTCAAAAGATCGATAGAAAGATCAAGAAAGGTAAGACTATAGTAAAAATGTTAGAAGAATTCAGGAAAATATTCAAAGAACAGACAAAACAAATTCAAAACTTGAAGCAATATACAACCTGCAGTTAGAAGGTCACAGAAATTGACAACACATTGAAAGAGAAAAGGGACAGATGTGAAGCAATGGAAGTCTGAATTAGTGAGCCTGAAGTGAAATCTCTCAATATTAGTATGCTAGAAGAACAATCAGAAAAAAGTTATGTGGAACACCATGAGGAAGAGCAAGTTATGGGTGACTGGAATTCCTGAACAGGAAGACACAACAAAATCAGAAAATAAAAAGAGAAAACTGCCAAAGAGTTGTTGAAATAAAACTTAGTCCTAACATCATGAAAGACGAGAAGATAACCACTCAAGAAGCTGAATGAACCCCAAACAGGATAGACCCCAAAAGAAAATCACCATGATGTATCATAATCAAGATCCTCCAAAACCAAAGACAAAGAAAGATTCCTAAGAGCAGCTCAGGAAAACTGAAGTTACCTACAAAGAAGTACAAATAAGACTAAGCTCTAATTCAAATCAAGGATCAAGCCTATTACCTCAGTATATAGGGTCAATAGGGGCGAGCAAGTTAGACATTGGCTATCTACTATAAAGGCATGAAGTATCTGGCTTACAAGTTTTTAAGAGGGAATTTAGTTTCAGAGCGAGCTGGGAAAGGCAGAATCCCGACTGAATAGTTTCCATATTGTCTAGGTGGGTCTGGTGAAAGGAGATGGCGATATGCCTCTTCTGATTCAATAGTGAGTAATTTTTATGACTAATTGAGATTGTCACAAGTGTAAAGGCAGAAGTTATGCGACAAAAAGAGGGGAGTAGTTAATCTTACATTGGAGGAACAGAGGACCTTAGGACTATCAAGGAAGAGAAGGAGTAGAAAGTGGGATCCTAACCAGAGACTAATGCAGAGGTGATAGCAGGGGAGATAGAGCATCTGAGGACTCCAGACTCAAGGGAAACAGAAAGGCTGTGTGCTGATGGGCAGGGGGCTGGTTTACAAAAGGTGCCCTTTGGGTGTTTAAATGATTATATAATCCTGAGTTTTTTTGTGTGTGCACATCCAAAAAACAAAAAAAAGAGGGAATAAAGGTAAATACTGTTAACCAGTGGTACATGGAGGGATTGTAATCATTGTAATGAAATAAGATATCATTGGTTGGGTGCAATATAAAAGCTTTTATGTTTTTTAAAAAAGGACTTTAACTCTGATTTTTTGGAAGAAATCATGCAGGCAAGGCTTGTATAGGATGATATACATAAACGCTGAAAGATAAAAAAATTGCCAAGCAAGAATCATATACCTAGCAAAGCCGTCCCTAAAATATAATGGTAAAATTAGCAGCTTTCTGATAATGATATTAATAAGTCTAACTACAACAAACATAAAGGATATTCTTTGGACTGAGAAATAATAGGAGACAATAACCTGAGATTAAGAGAGAACAAACAACAAACAAGATGGCAGATTGGGTAGAGAAGTGCAGTGAGGAGTTCTGTCAGCAACAACACAGAATACTGGACCAAGCAGGCTCAGGGCATGGTGCCAGAACTCTGAACCACATACATATAAAGGAATATTTAGAAGGTTAGAAGGCTTACAGCTAGGGGAATTAGTAGCAGAAGCAAGAAATCCATTGCTTTCTAATTAAAGATGCTCAGCTACTCCTAGAGCCACCATGGATGCATGACAGAACCAGGGAGATAAAGGTGTGGACATTCATGCTTTTGTATCTGTTCACTGGTCTCTTGCTGTCTGTGCACCTACATTCTGGGACAAGAGGGGGTGCCAAAGTGAGTGGACACGCCACCCACACTCCCCGAGGGTTATACTACGCATAAGCACAGATCTCCTCGAAATTAAAAGTGACAGGTTCCGCTTAAAACCAAACTGCAGTGTAAAACAGCCACAGCAGGCCCTGAACTGTTTGTCACTAAGAAAAAGGCCTGAACGGGGATTGTGGAGAGGAACAGGCAGGCTAAAAAGGTAATAGGCCAAAAATTAAATCCTGAGTTACGTCACAACAACCCACAGTGGCATCTCGAAATATTTCAGGAAGAAGAGTGAAAAGGAAAGCCCATCTCCTGATCACATCCACCTGGAGGCAATCAGAAACCATAAACAATACCAAAATACACACCCATCTAAGTATTAAGGCCACAGATAACTCTTGAATATGCCCCCAAAACTGAAACAGATGACCATATCAACACATGTCCAGAAATGAGATAAAGTGCCTGAGGCAAATGAGCTGGAAGGAGACCTACACTCCATACTGGAAGATGGGCAGGCTTTGGAAATGCCTGAGAAGAAATTCAGAAAAATGATTATAAGATGTATCAAAACACTATACAATGGAGTTGAGAAAAATAAGGAAGAAGTAAGGAAAGCACTACAGGCACAATCAAATAAGATAGATACAGCACTGGAAACAATTCAAAACCTACAGAAAGAGGTCCATATGATTAATAATAGAATATTAGAAATGGACAATACATTGAAATGTCAAGGGAGTAGAACTGAAGAGATAGAAGCCAGAACTCGAGAACTAGAAGATAAATCTCTCAACACTACTAAGACAGAAGAGCAAGCAGAAAAATGGATTAAAAAAATCTGAAGAAGGCCTAAGATTCATGTTGAACAACATAAAGAGGAATAACAAGAATTATCGGCATTCCGGAACAGGAAAAATATCAGAAGTCCACAGAAGAGATAGTTGAAGAGCTTTTGGAAGAAATCTTCCCTAACATCCTGAAAAGCGAAAAGATAAGCATTCAAGAAGCTCATCAAACCCCAGGAAGGATAGACCCTAAAAGATAATCACCAACACATATAATAATCAAGCTCTCCAAATTCAAAGATAAGGAGAGAATCCTTAAAGCAGC